CCGGGGCACGAACCCGTGTCCCCTGCATCGGCAGGCGGACTCCCAACCACTGCGCCACCAGGGAAGCCCCAGGTGCCCTCCCTTTTGCTGGGCTCTGGGAGCGTCAGGAAGGCGGCAACTATCAGAGCAGGGGCGCCCTCTGCTGGCCGCTGGAAATAAAACACTCCCTCATGACCCTCCCAGAGAAAGCGCCCTCCCGCCTTGTCGTGGGTCCTCCAGTGTCAGGGTGGCAAGCTGGGATCTCCCTCCTCACTGTGCGCTACCGAGCAGGTGCAGGCCTTCGACAAAAAGCTGGAGGACATGAGCAACCAGGTGCTGCAGTGGCAGAAGCAGCACCAGAGGGACCTCGAGATGCTGGCCGCTAAAGAGGAGCAGCTCAGGGCGTTCCAGGAGGAAATGCATGCCCTGAAAGAGAACCTCCTCGCGGACGAGAGGGAGGTGGGCACTCCTCAACTCCCGGTCGCTTCCTCCCACTCCCCCCAGAACATCCCACGACCGCCTATATGACAGACACCCTTTGGTGGGGGTGGGGGTGCCTGGGAGCAAGGAAAGGACACCCCCCTCTATTCAGTACAAAGCGGGGTCTGGGTGTTCCAGGCCCACAACGGCTGTCTCGACCCAACCATCTTCCCGTGACTTTGTTGATAGAGATATTGAACAGAGCAAAGGTCCCAATCCAGAGGAGAGAGAATGCCATCTCCATGTCAGGTACACCAGCAGCCCCGACTTAGATAATCCACTGCTCAGTCACCCTCCAGAGCCTCTCCTGACACTTTCAATTACCCTGCAGTAGAATCGGCTAAGAACTCTTTGGGCACGCCCAGCTCTCTGAGCAGTGAAGTTTGTAGCAGGAGGCTCCCGGATATCCTTGGGGTGGCCACAGGGCCTTTGCCCAAATTAGAAAAAAAGTCCTCCCTTTCCACCAGATATTTTTTCTTTCATCTGTTTTTTAAAAGGCTTAACATATTGCTGTTTTAGAATAGGTCACTTTGCTACCTTTGGCCTGAAAATCATTATTATAAATGTACAAACCTACTTTGTCTCTACTATAAGTGGTGTCTGCTCACAGATGTCACCTTTGTGATAATGCACTGCTGGAGGTGGAGGCCTGCAATGGCAACTCCAACTCTGGCCTCGGGGTTGGACAGCAGAGTCAATGTTTCTTCTCCCAGGAAGAGAGGAGACCTGATTTGGGAGAAGGGAGGTGACAGGCCTGTGCTCCCACCCCCTTACTATCTCATTTACTTCTTGTACCAAAGTCCTGTTGCCTGCCCCAGCGGTCTGCGCCCAAAGATACCTGCAGGCTGCACCGAGAGAATGATCAGATTATGTCCAACATGGAGCAATGGGCAAAAGAGCAGAAGTAAGTGCAGAAGAAAACAGTAAGGCAGGCTTCCAAGGGCTGGAATCACACATGTGCCAGAGAATAGTGTCATACACACACACACACACACACACACACACACACACACACACACACACACACACACACACAGCCCTCCAGGGAAACTGACCCAGTCTCAGCCCACACCCAGATTTTGGGAATAAGATGAAGGGGCCGCAACCCTTCAGGCTGGTTTAGAAAGCCCCGCCCACTTGGAAATGGAGCGGCTTCCAGACAGAAGGGATGCTCCTGTGGGTCAGATTTTCTCTTCCCAGCCTGGTGTCGGGCTTCACTGCCTGGATCCCCTGAGCTCACTTCGGATCACAGTGATTTTGCATGGGAGTGTAGAGAGTCCTCTTAATTGCCAGCTGCTAGGAGGACTCTAGCTCCGGGGACTGGGGGATGAGCAGGGGGTCTGGGCCCCGAAGAGGCCTTGCCAAGAACACCCAATGTCCTTTTCAGCCAGCTCATGCTCTTACTCACAGGGGTCTGGGGAGCTCTTTTCTTCTGTGAATTTTATTACAGGATCGCCAATGAGAAACTAGGAAACAAGCTCCGTGAACAGGTCGAATATATCGCCAAACTGACTGGTGAAAAGGAGTAAGTCATCCCACACACCCCTGGCTGGAGCTTGGGCCCCAGGGAGAGGAGTCAGCCAGGAACCAGGGCTGGCTTTTTCACTGGATATGTGGAGAAAGACCCCGAGTCCCGAATCTGCATCCATGTGACCTTGGGCAATACCACTTGACCTCTTTGGGCCTTAGTCCCCTCACCAACAATAAAAAAGGGGGTTAATAGTCTCTATGTCCCTCTCTACTGTCACCTTCCACAGTTCTCAGAAGTCAGAATGCTGAGAAGGAAACAGGAACTGAAAAGCAGACTGTATTAGTTAGGGTAGTGGCTAAGCTGTGGTAACGGAGAGCTCTCCAAACAAAGGGACATAGAACATAATAGAAGGAACACCTCTATGAGGTGAGCAGTCAAAGTTGGTGGGGTCCTTCTGTCCCATGTGGTCATTTGGGTCCATCTACTTGCAGCCTTGGTTCACCCTCGTGGTCAAAGCTGGGTCAGCATAGAGTGTGGTACGGGAGGAGTGTTGGAAGTTTGGGAACAGGCAAAAGTATGGATGTCTAAAACTGAGATTTCAGAGGTGGCATAGTAACAGGTAATGACAAGCTCCAGGGCAGTGTTTCCCAACCTTTTGTCAGGGAACACTTAGAAAATGAACACCTTTGTTTGGCACACCGGGAGGGTCTTGGATGGGGTTGCTTATGGTAAAGGTGACCAACCAGCAGCTGTGCCAAATCCTGCTCCAAGGGCTGAGGTATCGCAGCACACCTGGGACCCATTCATGCAGCCCCAGTTAGAAAGCTGTGTCCTGAGCTTGGACCATAGGAAAGCATCCAGGTTGAAGGAGAGGAAAAGATCACTGGAATAAGGAGGTCAAGGAACTGAGGGGCCAGGGCTTGAATGAAAAGTACAGGATCCTGAAAGCATCAGAGATGCTGACAGGAGTGGACCAGAGAGAGTGGCAGAGAGCCAGGGAATGAGGGCATTCGAGGACCCCACCTCCAGGCCCAGTGGCACAAGGAGCATGGCAACACCATGAAGAGCTACAAGGGAAGGGGTGTCTTCACTGCCAGCCACATTTATACAGAGCAAGAGGGCAGAGAATACGCCCAGAGAAGCAGTTGAGGATGAATTCTTTACTTGATTTCCTCTAGAAAAGATCATAAAATATTTCACTAGGACAGAAACATTTTCTGAAAGGATTTAACTAAAGGAGAAATTGTCAGAATCTGAAGGTAGCCAGGCACCAGGCTTTTTCTTATATTGTGCCAAGTTCTGGCAAGTTTTTTGGTTTTTTTGTTTGTTTCACAAAGAACTCATTCTTGAGTTTACTTGACCCTATTTGAAGGAACACCATCTTTTAATCATAATAACAAGAGCTCAACTAATATTTATTGCTTACTCATGAGGAGCACTGTTCCAAGTGCTTTACATGTGTTAACTTATTTAATCTTCATAAGACCTCACACGTTCAGTGCACGTATAATCCCCATTTAAGGATGAAGAAAGGGAGAAACTCAGGCTACGTAATTTGCCCATGGTCTCATGACCAGTAAGTGGCAGAGTCAGAATCCCAACTTGGGAAGCCTGGTTCCAGAGCCCACTGTCACTCACTTCTCTCAACACTGGTTTGGAGAAATAAGGCTGTTAGTATTAACAGTTGCCATTTATTGAGCCAGAGGAGGTATGCTCAGTTACCTTTCCCCTCACCTACATTAGAGCTGCCATTTCTTCCATAAAATGGGGACAAGTAACTTGCCCAGGCTCTCGACAGAGCCGGGATCCCCTGTGTTCTCAACCTTTCGGCAAAGGGAGGCAAAAGAACTTGGGCTTTGGCATAAGAACTGGATGTGAGTGTTTCCTAGGCATGGCTGTGAGAAACTGAGGACACGTGATCAGAGTTGTTCTGGCTCTTTGAATCCAATTTCTATCATTTGTCAAACTGGATTTTTATATGAACCCCAGAAGGCAGATCAGACTCAATGGTCCCCGTCTAACAGATAAGAAAACTAGCCCAGAGCTGACATGACACAGTGGGTCAGGAGTGCTGGTTCTGGGTCCACCCCAACCCCAGGCCTGGGCTTCTTCCCGGGGATGCACATAGGCCTCCATTTCCACAGAACATGCATGAGAGCACCAGCTCTGGAAGGAACTGGGCGTCCACGGAACTGAAACAGACCAAACACCCACCTGTCCTTCCCTCTCCTTCCCCAGCCACCTCCACAATGTAATGGTCCATCTGCAAAAGGAAAACAAGAAACTAAAGAATGAAATAGAGGAGAAGAAGCTGAAAGCTGGGCCCTTAAGGGTATATACCAAAGCCCTATGCCCGAGCAAAAGAGACCCCACAGCACGGGGGAAAGTGTATGGCACCTTGGACTGGAGGGGGATAACCCAAGATGTGAGCCAAAGAATGGACATCACCAAGTCTGTTGGGATGCCCCACTGCTCAGGTATGTCCACCGTGTGGCTTTTGCTACTTACTATGGTGCTGTCTTTCTTAGTCCATTGGGTCAAAAAAAAAAAAAACACGTATTTTGAAGAGATCACTGGATTGGAAATTCAAATAGGGGAAAAAAAGAAATCTTTTGCTTAGCTATTCTGGACCAGAGATCATTGTTTTCTCCTCTGTAAAGGGGGAGGCAAATGAATTAAGGCTCATCCTGATTTAAGAATCTTTGATGATACCCAAGTGCCTCCTATCTCAGACCTATCCCTTCCCCTGACCCAGTCCCTTTTGGGAGGTGTGAGGATAAGAAGGGAACAGGCAGAATAGGCATTTGTCTCCTCTAACGTGTTTTGGAAACCTCACAAGAATGCCCTGGACTCCTGTTCGGCCTGGGTCCAAGGCTACCTTTTCTGCCACCTGTAGACTCCATGGTACCCCCAAGGGAAGAAGTCACCTGCAACAGAGCTGCCTGGCCACGAGGCTAGTCCTTGAGGAATCACTTCATTAATTTCTCCTCAAATCAAGACTGTCATTTCCTCCCTGTTCCCTCAGGTTCCTCATATTGCTAGAATCAGCGCCTTGCCCTGAGCATCATTTCCACGCATGTTTTTCAGACGACAGTGAGTTCCTATTCCTCTCTCTTGACTTGGATCAGCTCTAACCGGAATATGTCAAGGTCCCAGCCTATTCTGCAAGATGCTAACATTTTATTGAGTTTTGTCTACTTCCTGCGGCAGAGTGAGCCTTGGAACCATACTACCATCTCCAGGCCCAAACTCTAAAATAAAGACATGAGCACAGCAGCCTCAGTGAGCTCGTGGCGTCTTGCAGACAATTCTGCCCCCTCAGGTCCCCAGCAATGTGTTCATCCCTATTTTCCCTAAATTCTAAAACATAGAGTTCTCTCTGACGTATATAGGGGAGGTGTAATTCCCAAAGCAAGCTTCTGGATTATCTGGATTCGTTTTTAAACCAACAAGAGATAATTAGTTCCTTTTTTATTCCTTCCATCTCTGGAATTTAAGAAGAAAAAGAAATATCTAAAAACCTCCAAAAGGAAAGTAATCCTGAGACCCAAAAGGGAGGAAGAGAAATAAATGATGCATTTTCCAAAGGCAGGAGGGAGAGATAGCCATCTGCTTTCTCCCTGGCTGCCATATTCCTTCTTTTAACAATTTTATTTTTCTCCCCAGCCAGCTCAGTACAAGAAAAATTCCATTATAACAAACTCCAAGGACAGCTAAACTATTTTATTGTGGCTGGATTTTGTTAAACTAAGTACATGTCTAGAATTTCTATTTCTAGTCTATAGAAAATTGAGAGAAATAGCTAAAGGTAAAGTAAGAGAAAGAAATGAAAGAGCTTGCATTTCTGGAAGAGGGGAAAGGAAAAGTGAAGGAAGAAACCCACTAGTTGATAGCAACTCTTAAATATCTTTCCTCCCTCCCCAGCCAAACAAAAGCCAAGAAAATTTTCTGCTGATAGCAGCAATGTGTTATATAGGATGCCCCTGCTAGGACTTGGGAAGGGCAAATTCTGGAAATGCAGTGTGAGGCAGGAGTGATGGGCACGTCTGGTGGTTTCTGTTGTCACGGGCATTGTCTGGTTTTTAATGCTCTTTTGACTGTGTTCCTTCATTTGGTTTAGAATAAGGATATATCTTCTAGAGAAAACAAAGACTGAAGGGTCTGGTACTAATGAAATGGCTTCTAGTTCTAGCCTGTGGCCCATTTATTCAAGCAAAAGTTCAATGTCATTAAAATCCCCAGTGCAGTCTACTAAAAAGGCATTTTGTCTCTTTAATTTACAAAAAGTTTTCATATATGTTGGCCAAAGGGACAATATCTGGGTACTTTGAATGTTGTACTTTTTCCAAAGTTGTCTTTCACTTCCTATGGCATGATTACACCAGAGGAAAGCAGGTAGCACGCTATGGGGAGCAAAGGGGCAGGAGAGCCAGAACCATGTCAATACATCACCCAGCCGTGTGGCCTTGCAAGCCCAGCCAGGTAGGAGACCCAACTGAGTGGAGGGGCTGGGCTTGGAGAAATGCAGAAAGGTAGGAGAAAGGGCAGGGAGCCCGAATGTTGCCTGCCTCTAATGCTTTAAGAAATAACCAAAGAAGTGAGTTCTTTAAAAGTTGACATTAAAAAGACATGGTCTCTGTATGAAACTATAATGGTGGATGCATTTGTCCTAACCCATAGAATGTACAGACACCAAGGGTTACCCCTAATGTAAACTACGGACTTTAGGGGGTAATGATGTGTCAGCGCAGGCTCATCAGTTGTAACAATCGAACCACTGCGGTGGGCGATGCTGATAGTGGGGAGGCTGTGCAGGTTTGGGGGGCAGGGGAAGCAGGTATAGGAGAAATCTCTGTACCTCCTGCTCAATTTTGCTGTGCACCTAAAGCCACGCTAAAAAAAAAAAAATAACAAAAAAGAAACGATTATAAGGCTAGGACTTAGCCGAGGGGATTACAAATAAAGCGCTTCAGCCACCCAGTCGGAGGGTGTCACTCAGATTCTGATACCTTGGGGGCCGCAGAATCCTTTGTGACAGATCCTCTTCTACCCACCTGGAGTATAATTCTTCTCCCCCTGAGCTAAAGGAACCCAGAACAAACCCCAGCCGCCGCCTTACTAAAGGGAAGGGGGAGCTCCCTAGAACCACCATGTGGCCACATACACTTGCCTTTGAGCCTCCTCTGCACAGCCCATATGACGAGGAAGCTTCCTGCCATAGGCAGGGCCCAGCAAGCTAGCCCTGGGGTCCCCAGCATGAGCCCCCTATCTCAGCCTGAGACCCTCAACTGATGATATTTCTAAGATGTCTAAAGTATCCTGCTCCTCTCAAGTAGGCATTAAAGGGTAGACGCACATGGCTGAGAGCAAGGCAGGGGACCCCTGTCCAGTTCAACAACCTTACTGTTCTCTCACACCAGTCTCAGGAATCCACTTCCAGGTCGTTGCCAAGAAACGCTTTTGTACCTCTAGAAAAAGAATCAGTTAGCATCTCAGGAAGAGATGGTGAAAAGCAGAGTATTAAATCAGAATATTAAAGCTGGAAGGAACTTGAAGGTAGATCTGAATGGAAAGGGTCCATAGTTAAAAAGAAAGCATTGGAGACAGAAGTGCAAACAGATTCTTGGGCAGAAGTCCAAAAGCCAAAACAGATTAGGGTACAGCTGCTGGGGGCGGAGAGCCTCCCCACTTATTTTGTGGCATGTGTGTATGCCACATGTGCCTCACTAGACGTCGCCTCGGCAGACTGTTGAGGCTGCTTAACAACAGAAAAGACTAGTGATTCTAGTGTAAGCATCATCTTTTACGTGAAAACCGATAAGCAACATTTTACACTATTTTCCATGAATACACAACACATAATGGAAGAAACTTCGGCCATTCTGAGCAATAGAGCAGCCAACCCGCCCACGGGAAAGGACAGAGGGTGCGCGGCTGCTCACCTTCCTCCCACTTCCCGGCCACCGTGGCCGGCCTTGTCCCAGCCCTGCCAGGTGCTGGTGCCCCAGGCCATTCTCCTTCCCTGTCAGCTGCGTCCCACCCCATCAACCCCTCCTCTAAGAGGCACTGCCTGGAGAACAGAAATAAGGGCGAGCAAAGGTTCTAGAAGGATCCATCCAAGGAAAGTCAGTGTTCTGCCTGTTCTCTAATGTGTGATTTAGGGCAGTCAGGGGAAAAGAAGAGTCAGAAATACAATAACATTTTACAAACAATAAATTTATTTCCAAATCCTGAATTATAACCAAATTATAATTCCCCCTAGGTCTATTGTGCTGTTTTACACAAGAATTTTAAAAAACATAGTCACAGCCGTGTCATTTATACACCAAGTGTCCCGGGGACAGTTTATTTGAATACGGTGGGTCCGGCCACCTCTCATGGTCCTGGCAGCTGCTCTGCGGCCCCGTGCCTGCACCGAGAAACTCCCACCTCCTCCATGGCAGAGCCTGGCCTCAACAGGTGCCCCCAGGGCCATGATGTACACAAATGAAAGCACACAGATGAAACGGTTTCGTCGGCAGGCCTGGGCGCTCCAGCCACGGGGCTCATGACTCAACACCTGGCCCCCCTCCTCTCCAGGGCCAGCCTCAGCTCAGAGCCCAAAGCGGGCTGGTGTGCGGCGAGGGGTCATGGGTTCCCCTTGCTCTTTCCGACCTGGGGTGTAGATCTTTGTAGACCTGGAGACACAGAAGAGGGGTTAGGAATCACACTGCTGCTCACTCCAGCCAGGACACACAGGAGGACGGGGAGCCTGAGGTCTTGCTGCTTCTGTGTGTGAGCAGGCTTTGGGGCTGCAGGGTCTCCGCCCCTAGCACACTTCCACTCCCCTCGCCTTCCCTATGTGTGATCAGGAGCAGAATGAGATAGCAACTCTTTCTGATATACACTGAGGCAGGTTATGAGATTTTTTTAACAATTCCATTCATATCCCCTAGGTGAGCTATGGAGGGAGTCTTCCCTCCACCTCACCAGGCTGCCACTCCAGCTGTGGCTGGGCTTTGTCCCCAGTTCCTGGAAGTATCTCTAGACCCTGGGAATTTCCCAAGGGACTGGAGTGTCTCTGTTATTCACGGTGGACCACATCTGATAGTTTATGCAAATGAGATGACTCAGGACGGTGGCTGCCCTGCCAGAAAAACCAGCCTGTGATTAGAGGGCTGTGCTTTGAGCCTCGTGCTATTAACCCAGCCTCTGGGGAGGGAAAAGGGGTTGGAGACTAAGTCAACACATGGGTCCTGCCCAATAAAACTCTGGGCACCAAAGCTCGGGTGAGCTTCCCTGGTGACAGTACGCTGTGTAATGTGCCAGGAGGGTAACATGACCCCAAGAACAATGGAAGACTTCACATCTAAGACCCTCTCAGACCTCACTTTATACGTCTCTCCCTTTGGCTGGTTCTGTGTCCTTCTGCTATAATAAAACTGTAATATGTATAGTACTTTCCTGAGTTCTGCGAGGTATTCTAGCAAATTATCAAACCTGAGGGAGTCCATGCGGATCCCCAAATTTGTAACAAGTTGGTGAGAAATGAGGGTGACCCTGGGTACCCCCCAACTTGCAAGTGGTGACTGAGGTGAGGGCAGTCTTGCAGGGACTGTGCCTTCACCTGTGTGGTCTAACTCCAGGCACCAGGGCAGACGCAGGTGCCCAAGGCTCTCCCCACCTTGCCTCTCCACTGTGGTGTCCAAGCCCTAGCCTGTTGGTAAAGCTGTGAGACCTACTCTGCCGCTCCAGCCCACCTTGGACCCCATCACAACATAACAAACAACGACCAGGAGTTGCAGCTGTATCACCACCCCTTGAAAGTATGTCCGAAACCACTCCCGTCTCCACGTGACCACAGTCAACTTGTCACCAATTCACCTCTGCACATTTAACTTCTCTTAAATCGCGACCCTGCCTCAGGGCCTGGTCAGTCCAGCTGGTGGGCTCCATCAGGACAAGAGTCCCGAGACCAC